GTCAAATCGATCGTGGAAAATTAGTGAAAAATTGACTTTTCCGATTTCGGAATTTCGGATTTCATCGAGCCCCACTGTGCAAAAACTAAAAATAGTGCAAGCGTTATGTTCCTTATGGGGTACAAACAAAAGTAACTACAAATTTAAAAAAGATGACATTTTTGTTTCGCATCTTCAAAAATCGTTATTTCGGAACTACAAAATCGTTTTTATTTCCCGCATATCTGTTATACACTGTTATACAACAGAAAGTGTGTCCAGACTGAGCGTTATCTTTGCTAGTAAAAACCCCTGCTGCGAGCAAAGAATCGAGTGTACCTTATGTTACAACTTTATTTCTATAGACAATTGTACTAGTTCAGATATCAACAATTTGCGAGTAGAGTTTGGTTAGGGACATTGATTCAGTGTATTTCTAATGACAGTGTCGACAGTTTTTTCATTGTCAATGAAATCTATTGAAAATAAAAATATAAAAGTATTGAAATATAAAAATGCGTACATAACATTTTTAAGTAATTTGTTTTGTAGATCCCATCAAAATCGGCAAATAATTCGTTTTTGTGTTTTATTGTTAAACAGGTGATTATGCTTTAAATATATAAACAAAATGAGTAGAAGAAATAAAAAAAGACTAATTAAAAAACAAAAGTTATTGTATAGAAACAGAAGTTTGCAATACGATGCAATGCAGACGGTGGATATTTTGTGAATGATTTCGTGAAAATAGAATGGACGATTTTAGAGTTTCGAAATTAACATTGCGGGATAAACTAAAAAAGTGGTGCATGGAAACCAATCTTTCAAAGAAATGTTTGGAAAATCTTTTATCAATTTTAAAGGAAGAAGGTCTGGACATCCCGCTCACTAGAGGTGGGCAGAGCATATGTTAACGAGAAATGTCGCTCCTGAAATGTATTGTCATATTGGCATAGAAACACAACTACGAAAAGTTGGTCTCATTTTGGACAAGTATGAAGAAGTCGAACTTGGTATAAATATCGATGGAATGTCACTGTTCAAAAGCAAGCTCGGGTGCAATTGTGGCCAATTCTTTGCAGAATCGTCAACATTCAGGAGAAAACAAAACTGTTTGTAGATGGATTAAATTTAATTAAATATAGTTTGTAGATAACTGTGCTTTATTTCATTTTTGTGAATTATAAATACATTAAAAATGTAACGTTTTTAAATGCTTATTCTATCACAAGAATTTTCCTATGATCTCAAAAGAACTCATCGTCTTCTAGTATTTATTTGTCTACAATGTCTACATATAGCTCAGGAAACCCAATATAGTGATTATATAGTTCAAACGTCACCATATTTGACTATTTGGTTCAAACGTCGCCATATTGTCCCAAAAGAACTACTTAGTCAATATAACCATAATCTACTGGTATTTTTCCTATGACATGCCTATGTTAAATATCTATAGGAAATTACATTGGTTTAGGTATACTTATGCACTTGTACTGGTGACAATGTCACTAGTAAAATACTACAATTTTACTAAAGATGTTCGCTGCAGGGTCGTTTTTATCTTCACGCACATATATACAAATATAACTTTTATATTACACTTATACTATGAATTTATTAATACTATACTAAATTGTTATACAAATTGTGTGAAGCGCCTTAAAGTATGTTATGCAAATGCTTTACATAAATGTTGAACAAGTAGCTTTAAATGCTACTCTAACATAAAGTTTATTCTAGCTTTACATTTGTTTTTTAATATTTGGGATCTTAGAGTATGTAACTGACTGGCAAGAGTTAGTGGGATTTAGGCCCCTTTAAAATTGTTTAATTTTTTTGTTTATTAGGATCAAAGGGTCAAGTATTTATTGTTTTTTTAGCTAGTACATTTAATATATGTAGTAGATAGAATAATTAATCAAATTTTAAATTAACAATGAAAAAAATTTAAAGTCTGATTAACAAAAACACAGGAAATAAAACTTAAGAAAATCTGGGAAAGAAGAACAAAAAAAATGCGATATTTAACTTTTGATTTAAGTCGCACGTCAATTTCCTCGCCATTGTCAAAAGTCAACAAAAAGACAGCTATGTCAAACATCAATGATAATGCTAATCCATAATTTGGGAATCTATTTGGGACCATAAATAATGCCAATCCCAGTACTAGTGTCGGGGCCATATTGAGACAAAACTATCTAGAACCAAATATTTAGCCGAATCCACCAACTCATCCAGTAGAGGTGGATAATTTAGTAAGAAAATTGGTTCGACATCTTAAACGAGTTCCATATTTTATTGTGATTCTGGTTACAACAGAGAAGCAATAATATTTTACATCCTACAACAGAGAAGCAATAATGTTTTAAAACATGACCTTCTATAACTTTGCAAAATCGGACGTACATTATTCAAAGAAATGAGGAACAATTGCCTTATGAAAGCGGTTGTGAAATTTTCCACGATATTAATTCAAAACGGTCAATGTTGGAAAGACTTGTCTCAGAATTGGAGATGATACTTTTGTTCAAGATGAATTTAAGAAACAATCTCTCAAGTATAGTGTACTCGATGCCTGTTTCATCCCTTGAACAGCTTAGAGTGAAATGCTTAGAGTTTGCAATAAAATAATCTCCAAATTTCAATAAACCCCTACGGGTAAATGGTTCCCAAGAAAAGAAATAGGAATAGATTTGATGAATGTGAAGAAACAATCGAGGTTTCTGCCATTACTACCCATTTGGTAGTTCATGAAAATAGATATTGCCAGATCCCAAAAGGTGAGTACTGCATTAGGACAAAGGCACAGGATTTTACGAAAAATAATAATAAAACTGGAATATGACATAAGTATAAAGAAAATCAGTTTCTTTCTGTGTCCTGTTATGAAACAAGAATTTAAACTTGGACCAGCTTTTTAGGCGACTGTACGAAAAGGATATTTATTTTCCACTGTTGTCTGCAGTGCAAGAAATAGTGTGGAAGGAAATTGATGTGCGTGAAGATAAAACGATTTCAACTAGCGAAGACAACGCTCAGTCTGGACACACTTTCTGTTATATAACAGATGTTATAACATGTATAACATATATGCGGAAAATAAAAACGATTTTTGTAGATGCGAAATAAAAACCATTCTTGAAAATGCGAAACAAAAATGATTTTTTTTTTTAAATTTGTAGTTATTTTTGTTTGTACCCGATAAGAAACATAATTATAAGCATAAAAAAATAAAATAAGTACTTTAGAGGTGTTTCAAAAAAAAAAAAAAAACTTTCGTCATCATATCGATTATTTTTTAATGGACGAAAATTACATAGCCCACTGTTCCAAGAGATTTCCGAAACGATATTACTTGGTCAAATCGATCGTGGAAAATTAGTGAAACATTGACTTTTCCGATTTTTCAAAAGTTATCATCGAGCCCCACTGTGCAAAAACTAAAAATAGTGCAAGTATTATGTTCCTTATCGGGTACAAACAAAAGTAACTACAAATTTAAAAAAGATGGCATTTTTGTTTCGCATCTTCAAAAATCGTTTTTATTTCGGAACTATGTTTTTATTTTCCGCATATCTGTTATACACTGTTATACAACAGAAAGTGTGTCCAGACTGAGCGTTATCTTCGCTAGTAAAAACCCCTGCTGCGAGCAAAGAACCATGTGTACCTTATGTTACCACTTAATTTCTATAGACAATTGTACTAGTTCAGATATCAACAATTTGCGAGTAGAGTTTGGTTAGGGACATTGATTCAGTGTATTTTTAATGACAGTGTCGACAGTTTTTTCATTGTCATTGAAATCTATTGAAAATAAAAATATAAAAGTATTGAAATATAAAAATGCTTATATAACATTTTTAAGTCATTTGTTTTGTAGATCGCATCCAAACAACGCGTGTTTTAAAGGAAGAAGGAAGAAGTCGAACTTGGTATAAATATCGATGGAATGTCACTGTTCAAAAGCAAGCTCGGGTGCAATTGTGGCCAATTCTTTGCAGAATCGTCAACATTCAGGAGAAAACAAAACTGTTTGTAGATGGATTAAATTTAATTAAATATAGTTTGTAGATAACTGTGCTTTATTTCATTTTTGTGAATTATAAATACATTAAAAATGTAACGTTTTTAAATGCTTATTCTATCACAAGAATTTTCCTATGATCTCAAAAGAACTCATCGTCTTCTAGTATTTATTTGTCTACAATGTCTACATATAGCTCTGGAAACCCAATATAGTGATTGTATGGTTCAAACGGCACCATATAAATTCCAAAGATCTAATCTTTTTCTAGTGACTATTTGGTTCAAATGTCGCCATATTGTCCCAAAAGAGCTACTTAGTCAATATAACCATAATCTACTGGTATTTTTCCTATGACATGCCTATGTTAAATATCTATAGGAAATTACATTGGTTTAGGTATACTTTTGCACTTGTACTGGCGACAATGTCACTAGTAAAATACTACAATTTTACATATATATACAAATATAACTTTTATATTACACTTATACTATGAATTTATTAATACTATACCAAATTGTTATACAAATTGTGTGAAGCGCCTTAAAGTATGTAATGCAAATGCTTAATATAAATGTTGTAGCTTTAAATGTTACTCTAACATTAAGTTTATTCTAGCTTTACATTTGTTTTTAAATATTTGACTAGAAAAGTAACATTTACAGCCAGTTCCACGATATCGAAAAAACACGTTCGCACAACTTTTACACGACAAACAGCTGATTTCTGTTCCACTGAAATCCATCAGAACGAAAATTTGCACGAAAATCAAAGCGAACGAAAACGTAAGCATTTCTGTGTAATTTTGCGTTCCACTATCTTTTTTCTTTCGTACGCATGCGAACACAAATGTCAAAATCAGTCACTTGTGTGTTTGCTATCGTATAATAACAATTAAGGAAAATTGTTTTAACATAAACATTGCTTGATTGAAAATGGAAACAAAAATGTAAGTAAAAATAATAAATGCAATTTAATATGTGAGCAACAAATATATATTTTTTTATTTTCTCAATTCCAGCACGAAAAAATCATCAACTACACAGCTGCGGGCACTAGTATATGGAGGAGAATCCTGTGTTCGCCAGAGGAGTGCCAATTTTTGGAAGCAGCAGAAGAAGTTTTAAATCGGGGCGGATTTGGGTAGTTCTGCAACCGGGCACCCACTTCTCTTCCATCATATCCAAAAGAGCCCGAAAACTTCCTTCGACACACGAAAATTGGCCACAAACCTTGAAAAAATTATTATTATTTTTTATTATTTCAAAAATGTAAAAATACAATCATACTTACTGGTTGTTAGGTACTTCAAATAAATTCGAAGCATCTCTTAAATGCCTCCGTGGCACATTTTGAACCTCCTCCACATCATCCATAAAAAATAGGGCTACGGAAATATTCTTTTTTTTATTTTCTAAGAGCACAAATAGTTTGAACACAATCACTAGAGTTTTTATTTTGTTTGTTTATTTACAATTTGTTTGTTTACAAATGAAATGTCAGTTGAGACAGAGCCACTGCTGCTTTTTCGCGTTTAAATTAGACATTTGGCGCTTTTTTGCCTTATTTCGCGATTAATTTTTCCAAAAAAATATTTAGCAACACTGAATCACGTAAGGCTATGCGAAAGAAAGAACGAATATTAGTGGAACGCATTCTTATACGAAAGTGAGTGAGTAGCCTTCGTTCGCACAAATTTTCTTTCGAGATCGTGGAACAGGCTGTTATTCATAACTGGGCTACACACTTAAATTATTGAGACAATTAAAATTTTATTTTGGTACCAAACAGTTTATATAGAATTATCATAGGTGGTAGATTCAGATGGACGGAAATGTACTAAATGTTCAGACCTTCAAGCTTTTATATATTATTTTTTTCCTTTTTCGAAAAAATAATGGAAAAATGTTTACCTTTCACACCAAAAAGTCTTTAAAATCTTTAATTTTAATTTTTTTATTTTGTCACAAGGACTTTATTGTTCATTAATACATTATATAATTATATTATTTTACGAAGCCAGTAAAATGGTTGTCGTTAACAATTTTATTTGTGTATATGTATGTACAGATTTGATCTTACCCATTGCTATAGAAATTATTTAATACCACATTATTTAATTACTTTGCAAAAAATTTAAACCGCAAACGCTGATTTTCTTGCTTTTCCGTAATGCAATACATGCCAACACAGGGAAACCGCTAATTACGTCGAATTAAAAAGAAATTTATCATCTTCCAATATTTTCAGGGCTGTCAGAAGAATGTCCAACATTTTCCGAGTACTTTTGCAGCACCACAAATGAGTTTATGTACAGCAACCTGCAGAATATTATGACGTTAAGAGACGCTTTAAAAGGCAAAGCCCGAGAGACAGTTGAACTTTTATTGGGAAGCTCTGCCAAGCAGCTCATTACCTAATGACGATTTGAATGTCCTAATAAATTTCGCCATGAAATATAGCATAATTTTTAAAACAAAAACGCAGGAGGAGAACTTACTTAACACAACCTATCTTCACTGAGTGAACTCATGGCAAAATTACCAATAAACCGACAAATGGGATGGTTTCACCCCATGTCTTTCTTTAAATGAATCGCCTTCTATTTTAGATTTCAGGGCATGGTTGCAAACATTACGACGAGTTGCTAACACTAATCGCCGCCAACCAACACAGCCCAGCCACAATAATGCTTGTGTCGCCATCAATAATTGTGTTATGTGCGACGGGGTCTGTAGGTCAATTACAAAATGTAAACAGTTTTAACATTAGATGTACACTAAAGGTAAAATAATTACCACATATGCCTTCATAGATGACGGTGCAAATGTAACAATGCTAGACAGGGGAATTGCCAAAGACCTGAAACTCAACGGGAACAAGACACAATTATCCCTACAGTGGTTAAATAAGCATTCAATGACGGAAGATTCTGAAGTAGTGGATCTAATAATAAGTGGTATGAGAAGAGAAGACTGAAGATATGTGATGAAAAATGTATATATCACTCCGAAATTTGTCATTACCCATTCAATCATGTAATTTGGAAAAATGGGTAACAAATAATGTTGATGTGTCGAAAAAAATTTGTAACTGCACGAATGTGAAACCAATCATTAGTTTACCCCATTTCATTTCAGATCCACTGCTAAATGTGCCCGCTGCCTTTTTGGCGCTGGATCAATTTTAACCACAACAAGATTGGGCGTTGTTGTTTATGTCCCAACATCCGGAAAAAAGTAAAATGGGGCACACATTTTTATATGAGAAGCGCGGTCTTTGGTTGCAACTTTCTTCGGGTCATAAACAACAATTCCAGCAGATAGAACCGAAAATTGATTGCAACGAATGAACTGGATGATGCAGTGTGGAAAATAAAATGGACCGGTATAGGGATTATGGCAGGGCATATTGTGAGAAAATAAATGACTACATATCAAAGTGCTCTTGCAGAAAAGTTGATGTGAACGAATTACCTTTAAGTCCACAACGCGTTTTTTATCCGCCCCATTTGTTAATAATGCGAACCTAGAAGGAATTAGGATTGTTTGTTTGATGCTGCAGCCGAAGTGATGAATGTGTTGTTGAATATGTGCCTTTCAAGTGGACCAGACATAAACAATTCCTTAATTTCAACTATTTTTAAATTTCGTGGAGTTCCAATAGCCGTCTGTGGGGATATAAAAGGAATGCTCCATCAAGTCTAAATCGTCAAAGAAGATCAAGATTGCCAACGATTTCTTTTGAGAAGGAGATAAAAATAAAAGAGTGGACACTTATACTTTACAATGTAAGATATTTGGCAACTTGTTCGCCAACTATAGCCCAATATGTGAAAAATATGAATGCCAATATGTTTGTGATAGAGTCACCGCATGCTAGTGTTGGAGGTTTTGTGTTGAGAAATATTATTTCAAAATCCAATAGAGTAACTCAATATTGTGGAAAACCGTGGTGAGTTTTTTTAATAAAAATTGTGCTTAAAGGATTTTAGCATACTCTGGTTGCCAAATCCAGATGTTTTCTGCTTCCGCTTGAGTTTACATAAAGTTGATAAATCCATTTTAGGCTTTTCAAAGATTCCTACAAAACGTAAGATGCTCTCTTTGAACATTTCAATCTATGACCCATTCGGATTTGTTTGTGAATTTGTGGTTTCTTCGAAAATATTTATGCAAAAATGATTGAATTCGGCTATGGAGTGATTGAAGTTATAGTTAGCTGAATTAAACATGTTGGATGAATTTCCACGGTGTTATCTTAAGGAATTTTTAAACAGAAAAGTTGATTTACATATATTAGCAAGCGGACATTATGGCTATCCGCAATCCAGTCGATGAGACGGATGGTGGAAAAACAGGCCAGTCTTCCTGAATCTCAATGGTTTTAGAAAGTAATATTGAAAACGTTCTGGATACCAACGACTCTGAGCTGAGATCAAAACATGTCGTCCTCGTGGGTCGTCAATGTGATTCGGTGGTTCCAGATACCATGGGTACCAAATAAAATTTTTGTCGCAAACGCCAAAAGGTTGATCTATTAAAGGGTAAACTTTCAGCAGAAGAAGATGTATTGGTCAAACAATATATATGCCCAAATGTACATAAATAAGTATATGCTGATGAAATTGCCGATATTGGTCTACATGGTCATGTGAGCAAGGACAGCAAATAGAAGAATTCTACATGTCTGCCGAGCTATTCCAAAAATTCGATCATCCTGCCGAATCAACCCTTTCACACGTCTACTTGTTGAATCGTATCATAGCAAATTTTGGTACATAAGTCGACAGTCAATGCTGAAGCACATGTGCAATTTTGGGTACTCAACGTACGTTTACTCCACAGCATACAGTCAATATGTGAGTTTTGCCGAATTCGAAGAGCGAAGCCATGTCAGCCTCAGATGGGTCTTTTCCCAATATGTTGTGTATCGCCATATGTCCGTCCATCCAATTACACTGGCCTAGACTACTTCGGATCAGTGACTGTTACTATACGTCGGCTGTGAAAAAAGAAATCCTTGTTCACCTGGAGATAACCGCCGATCTTTCCAGTGATAGCTGTTTATTATGCACATGGAATTTTATCAATCGTAGAGGTGTGCCTTTGGTAATGCGAAGCGACAACGGCACTAATTTCGTTGAGATTGAGAAGGAGTTAAACCTTGTCCCTTTCAACATTGGAAATGCAATGGAAGTTTAATACTCCGGGAAATTCCAGTGATGGTCGTGCATGGGAAAGTCTGGTCCAATCGGTCAGGGAGCACCGAATGTGATGTTACGAGAACATTCGCCGCAGACTCATTTGGCTTTTAGCCCTGAAGATCCTGATCTGTTTACGCCAAACCACTTTTTACCTGGCTGTTCCAATTCTACGCAAACACCAGCACACTTTTAACTCCATTTGATGTATATTCGTAATCAATGGCGAATTGTAAAAAATATGAAAAATGAATAGGTCCGAGAATATTTGCCTGATTTAACTCGTGCAACGAAGCAATCTCAACCGACTCATCCTCTCAATATTGGATGCCCAGTTTTATCTGTGATGCTGACCTCCCCCGATTTCAATAGAAACGTGGTAGAAATATTCCATGGGAAAGATGGTGTTGCATGATATTTCAAGTTAATACTAGCTCTGGGTTTTATAGAAGGCCTATTTCCAAACATGACTTTTTGGACGTTGGTAAAGCCTCCCCATCTGGGTCAGTTCACGGGGTCGGGTATGCCGTTTGGTATTAGATGGTTTGCTCTGGTTATGAGCCTACAGCAAAAAGGGTAGCATTTAGTGTCAAAGTCGACAGATATCATCTCTAATCTAAATATCAAATTTCATAATTTTATCTCTATCCTTTCACTACATATCAAATGTAGTATCATTCAGTACTTTTTGTACAATTATAGCACACATTAACGAAATCATCTCCATATACCCAGGCTACACATAATCAGCAACTCCAATACCAAAATTCAGATTTCAAGCACAATCAGTTGACCCAATACACAATTATGACCCATATACTACTATTAAGTACTTTTAGGGCACTTGTACTTAAGTACTTTTAACGCCACATCTGAATCGCCGTTTAGTACAGTTCGCACACTTATTTTTTTTACATAACAAACATACCATACAACTATGATTCTCATGGAAAAAACGAAATTTCGAAAACTCATTGGTACATCTATCTATCTATCTATCTATCTATCTATTTTATTTTTTTTATTTTATTTTTATTATTATTATTATTTTGTCCCGTGGGACTTCCTTTATTTATAATAATTTCATTTACATTGTCCTACGAAGCCAAAAAATAGGCTTGTCTGTAGGATATAAATATAATTTCATTAATACTAAAACACAGCTGTAGTCTTCATTATCATTGAGATCCATTACTTATTTCTAATAATTTTTTTTACATTTTTCATTCTAACATTTTTATTTCTTATTTTAATAACATCAGATGGTAGTTCATTAAGGACCTTCGGGAGAGTCACGGCTAGTGAGAATTTTCCATATTCATTTGAAAATTTTGGTACTTTGTAACATCCATCCGCTCTTCTTCTTGTGTTTTGTTGATGGTCTAGTTTCTTGGCTACGCTAGGATCATCTGCAAATTCATTGGCGACAGATATTGAGTACAGTTCATTTATGTTAAATATGTTTTGGGTTTTGTAAATTTGTTTTATTGCGTTTGTATGAGTGAGAGAGTGTCTTTGAGTCTGTGTTGGATTTATTTTGTTTATCGATTTGACGATTCTATCTTGGCTGTCCTGTAGTGCTTTACAGCATCGCGCGTTTCCCCATGCTGTTATACCATGTCTTAGGTGAGATTCAACTAAAGAGTAATAAGCTACCTTCAGAACATGGTATGGTGCGCAATTACCAAGGTGATATAGTGCGAACGCTGATTTACGAAGTTTCTTTTGTAAGTTTTCTACATGTATCTTCCATTTAAAGTTATGATCCAAATGTACTCCTAAGTATTTATATTCATCAACAAGTTTTAATTGCGTTGTGCATTTTTCCAAGTTTTCGTGGATTCTTTCGCAGCATTTTGTATGTAGGCAATTATTGTCATGAAATGTAATTCGAATATCGCATTTTGGCATGCTTCTTGACCTTATATGCATGATTTTCGTTTTGTTGGGGTTGATAATTAATCCACTATCGTGGCACCATTTTGTTATTGTATTAAATTCCCTTTGCAAAGTGTGTGTTGCTTGTTGTATATCTTTATTTGATACAATGATGGCTGTGTCATCTGCATAGGCGAATGATATGCTGTTCTTTAAGATATGTGTCATTTCATTTGTGTATATGACATAAAGAAGTGGCCCTAATTTCGAACCTTGCGGTACTCCATAATGTAAAGGTAATTTATCGCTAGTTTTGTTATCGATTCGGACTTTAAATGATCTGCAGGTAAGATAGTCCTTAAGCCATTTCAGACAGATCCCTCTTATTCCACACTTTTCTAAAACTTGTATTATCTTTTTATGGGGTAGGGTGTCAAACGCTTTGCTGAAATCAATAAAAAGCGCAATACAACTACTTTGTTGATCAAGTTGG